GTGTGTGTGTGTGTACGTGTGTGTGTACCGTCAAATCAGATCTGACTGGTACAGGAGGAGATTGTTCCTCCTTTTCCCGGCAGAGCATCTGGTGGATTTGAACCGTGTGCCTCTGGGATTGTAGTTGCAGCTCCTTGCCACTAGGCCACCAGAGCTCCCGCAGGGGATAGTTTGAGTTTAGGTTTATAGAGATTATCTCAGGATAAGCTTCAGGGATTCATCTCTGGCTCACAAAAGTCTGGGCATCAGGAGAATTTAAAATTCTGTTCATTACTTCCCCCCTTTTGATCAGGATTCTTTTCTAGACTCTTGGTGAGAGCTTCTTGGTGGATTTCCAGCATGACTATCCTGTAGTCCCTTCACAGGCCCCTCATCATCGATTTTCTGTATAAGTTCAACACCACTGGGGGCTGCCTCGTTTCCTCACTGAATGATGGCCACAATTACTGCCAGACAGTTGATGGTCTAGGTGCCTGACAGACTAGACTAGGCTACTCATCGTGGTGTGTGCTCAAGGCCCAGGCACCAGGATGCCCCACGCCCTTCCTCTGGTCAAGCAGTGACTGTAAAGTGTTAATGTGTTCATTGTTGTAGAAGTACAACACAAAACTTTGTAAAGGAGATTCCAGAAACATTGTTCCTAGATGTTTCTGGGTTTTGAGTTGATTTTTGTTTGTTTGTTTGTTTTTTAAATTTTTGTGTGCGTGTACCGTCAAATCAGATCTGACTGGTACAGGAAGAGATTGTCCCTCCTTCCCCGGCAGAGCATCTGGTGAAGTTGTTTTGATCCTGGGATTAAAACCATTGTGGCAGTTTGCAGACTGACTGTTGGGGACCCCGCCCCTCTTAGCAGTCCTCTCCACAGCCAGGGAGTGGGCTCCTGCCAACGACGTGCCATCTCACATGTCCTCCTTCCTCACAAGGCCCACCAGCCACATTGCTCCTTTCCTGCGCGGCCTTGAGGCTTCCTGTGTGTGGGCTTCCTTGGAGCTCCGTGCTGCCATCTGCTGGGATACAGTTGAACATTTGGTTTAGGTTTTAAGCCTGGAAACGAGGGAGGCATTAAACTCATTTATAGGGTGTAGCATCTCTTATGACTTGACAGTGTCCTGGGCACTGAAGACCCAGCAGTCACAGGACAGGCAAGTCCCACATAGGCCACCTTCTGCCTGCTCTTGATGGACAGCCACCACCAGCCGCTTAGGCTCCATCTGGTTTGCAGACCAGTATAAACAGGACTGTGACCAGATGACAGAGAAGCTTCTCTTGAGATCCTTTACTGTTTCCTTGTGTTCTCTTGTTCCGAGAGTGTTCCCGAGGATGGAACAGAAATTCCCGAGTGGGAAGGTGGCTTTGAATTCGTCATTACAGGAGAGTGGCCGGAGGTAGTTCCAGCTCTCTTCTCACCTTGGTCCAGTCTCGCCTTCTCCAATCTTTAAATAGCCAGCTCATTTTTGGTTAATTTTTGCTTGGAAATACATTTAAGTCATTTTATGTGCCTTAAGTAAATTTCCCTTTTATCTGGTACACCCTTGAGGACCGGACTGTGGAAAAAATATGGTTCTTTTCTCTTACTCGGCAACTCCAGAACTAGCTGGACAGATGGGTTGGTGTCTCCCCGCCTGCCACGACTCCTTGTCCTGATGCTGCAGCCAGACGGTCCTGTTGTCTAGTTCCTGGGCCCCTAAGGAAACCCCTGGTGAACAGGGGTGGGCCCTTGGAGCTGCTGGCCCGTGACTTGAGAGTCCCCTGTCCCTCTCCAGGTTTGGCAATGACGTGCAGCACTTCAAGGTGCTCCGGGACGGGGCTGGCAAGTACTTCCTGTGGGTGGTGAAGTTCAACTCTCTGAACGAGCTGGTAGATTACCACAGATCTACATCTGTCTCCAGAAACCAGCAGATATTCCTCCGGGACATAGAACAGGTGCCACAGGTAAGCCTGCTCGGAGGGTTCGGGAACGGCTTGGAACATCCAGACACGGTCTCTCCTTCAGCCAGCCACTGCCTCTCAGAGGTTGCTTCTGAGTCTTCTTGCCCATGTTCAGTCCTCAGAAGTTACCCTTAATTCATATCAAAGATTTTCATTGGGAATAAAACCCTTTTGTCCCTTTCAATGGCCAGTAGTTCCCCTGACGTGGCCTCTGTCCTTGGCTCTGCTGAGATTGCTGCGGTCCGAGGGAGACTGTCAGCAACACGCTCAGACTCTCCAGGCCTCGAAGCCGGCATTGAGAGAGAAGTCGGCTTCCAGTCTTGAGCTGCTACTTCCAAGGGTCTCTCGCTTCCCCTCAGGAAGACACTGCACGTTGGCCACCATCAGTGAGCTCTGGGAAAGAGGACAGTAGGCCCCCGTAGAGAGCTTGGAATACTGGGCAGGAAGTGAGGTGGGCTAGGGAGTCTAATCAGGGGTAGGAGGGATTACACACACATTTGCTCCCCTGGCCCGAGGGCAGGAGTGTATGCAAAGGGACGCTGGCACGCATCAGGGTGTCTTCTGCTCCTCTCTTGCAGCAGCCGACGTACGTCCAGGCTCTCTTTGACTTTGACCCCCAGGAGGATGGCGAATTGGGCTTCCGTCGAGGAGACTTTATCCATGTCATGGATAACTCGGACCCCAACTGGTGGAAAGGCTCCTGTCACGGCCAGACCGGCATGTTCCCTCGCAACTACGTCACCCCCGTGAACCGGAATGTCTAGGAGGCCAGAGGAGATATTTAAAGAGTGAAAATTTTAAAACACGTACAGAAGAGGTCACAGCCTACAAGCTGCCTCTCCCAGCAGCCTGTGGGGCGCAGACACCTGGCGGGTCACCCCGTGGCCCTCCATTGTGTCAGGACTCTGGGGGGGGTGGGGGGGTTGGATATAAAAATGCCAAAATGTACCTATAAATTAAGAAAGAGTTTTTATTACAAATTTTCACCGCTGCTCCTCTGCCCCGCCTTTGTCCTTCTCCCCACTCTGTCCGTCAGTGCATGATGCCTCCTGCCACGTATAGTCCTAGCTGATGCCGACAATAAAAGACACCAAGTGGACTGGTATTTTCTCTATGCAATGTGGTTGAAACGACTGAACAGAGCCACGATGTGCTCTTCATATACACACAAAAACAGGCGCAGGCTTGTCACCTTGGCCACTGGCTTCTGCTGCCAGGGGAGCCATGGCGTCTGCCCCTCCAGCCCTGATGAACCCCATCTTCTGTCCTCTGAGCAGGGCTGGGTGGGGGCACCGTGCTCCCCTCCTTCCCCAGAAGGTCACACTGAACACCCCATCCCGTCTCCCATCTTGTCTCCCGATGGTGTTATTGAGCTTGTCTTTCATAGTGCCTTTTTTCTTATTTCAAGGGTTGCTTCTGAGTGGTGTATTTTTTTTTGTTTTTGTTTTTCAATTTGTTTTTGTTTGAAATAAGACAGTCCAGAGCTTTTCAGCCAATTTGTCTCCCACTCTGTGTAAATATTTTGGCGGGGGGCAGTGGAGGGTGTGGGTGTTCTCCTGCCTGTTCAGAGCCACGAGTCTTCAGTGTTCAGCTTTAACATTTGTGAGACCACCAGTTGAAGGGAGGCAGTGCCCACGGGTCCAGATGGTGCCTGCCTGGAGCCTGCTGCAGGGGATGGGGGGTTTAGAATCGTTGTCAGCCAGGTCTCAGGTATGACTTGCCCCTTCCTGAGCCCCACAGAGCCCCAGGCGGCCATTCAAGGTGTCCAAGTGTATGAAATTCAGAAGAGCAGAATTTCTTGAAACTGAGGGCTGCGTTTAGTGTGAGCTGTGGGCCCTGTTCCCACACTGCAGTGAGAGGTGAGCTTTGGGAAGCACCAGGGCCTCCAGCTGGGGTGTCATCCGACCTGCCCAGGTGAGCATCCCTGGAGTCTCCAAGGGCAGCTGGGTCGCTGGCGTGTCTGCACCACAGCCCGTGCGTACACCACTCCGCTGCACCCACAGCCTCCACCCTCAACTAGCAAGTGTCCTCTGTAGGGACAAGGTTAGCAGGTCAGGAGGCGAGGTCATGGCAAAGTGCAGTCCATCCTCTTCGCTTTCCCCCGTGGCCGTGCGTCTCCACCCAGTCCCCTTCTCTCTGCAGCACAGAGGCCGCTTACATTCTGTCCTGCAACTGGCCAGGCCTCTGGCCTTGGACACTGCAAGTGTCTCTGGAGCCTGTAGTGTGGCACTGGACAGTTCTGGCCGCGGCCCTTTCCGCCCCCTCTCCACCTGTATCTCTTGCCCTCGCTGATGCTACAAGGAGTCTGGCATTCTACACCTGGACCATTTGATTGTTTTATTTTGGAATTGGTGTATATCATGAAGCCTTGCTGAACTAAGTTTTGTGTGTATATATTTAAAAAAAATCAGTGTTTAAATAAAATGAACTATGTACTTAATCCTTTAACTCTGCGGATAGCATTTGGTAGGTAGTGATTAACTGTGAATAATAAAATACAGTGAATTCTTCACTCTGTATCTTTTCTTTTTTAAACGGAAAATGGCAGTTTCTGATCAGGAAGTTAGGCCTTGTCATATTTTTAGCTTAGCTTAGGCATCTTGGGAGCATTTTCTCAGAGGAATTTCCACACTTGCCCAGTTCTCAGAACTCCTGGGGAGTCTGCCCACCCTCAGACAAGTGAGGAAGCTGAGGTACAGCGCAGACACACCTGTGTGCTGGCTCTGACTGGGACTGGAGACAGCCCTCTGGAAACCTTGGTCTGGACTAGAAGCTTCATGAAGCCAGGGAGCCAGGGTGGCAGCTTCAGAACCAGATCGACAGTCCACACCCTCCCAAAGAGTCCTGGCCAGTGCATGCTCCTCACAGGACGTGGTGGCGTGAGCTTGGAAAGATTCTTGTCAGAGTTGGGTACCATTGCGTCTTCTTCGACGTGCCTGCAAGCGACTGGCTGTGTCACACGACCCTGCCTGATCCTGAACCGTTGTCCATTCATGCAGACACTGTTGATCCGTCTCACTCAGGAACTTCCTCATTCTCGCTGACCAAGCACAATGTCCTTCTCCAGGGCTGGGCCCGCCTTCCTCATGACAGCCTGGGAAAACCTTTGGAGCGGTTTGACTCTGACATGGACATGTTACGCATCAGAATCGACCCCACTGCATCTAATGACAGGTTTCCTGATAGAGCAAGAATCAACAGCAAAGTTAGGTCCACGGGATTTTCCCTTGTTTGGTCTAGGTTTTAAGTAGACCTCCGGGTGCCACCTCCCTTGTGCGTGCCTGGAACGGGCTACTGGGCTGGAACGGAGCAGGGGCAGCCTGAGTGGGGCTGTTCAGTGAGAACACGAGGCAGCAGCTGTCATTGGTGTCATGGAGGTTTTCTGTTTGCTGTTCTTATATAATTGCTTCAGAAATTGTCCCTCTTGGCACAGTCGTGCTGAAAGTTGCACATCTGGCACTAATTCCTGGGAGGCATCAGCAATGGGCATTTGGGAAGATGGCACCGTCTTCCGGATTCCTTCCTGGTGGGGGTGGAGGGTGCTCTGATGGAGTAGCTCCTCGTGTCTGCTTTGCATTGGCCTCTAAAAGAAGGGCTGGGAGGTGGGCCAGAGGCTTTCCTCCCAGCCTGTGCTGCTGCAGAGAGTGAGCTCGCCCTGAGTGACCTGGCAGTGTGTAGGGATTGTGGGGAAGCTGGGACTAAAGGCCACCACCAAGTGGTCCATGCAGGCGTGTGACACTCACAGGCTTCCTCACTGGTGCCGAGAGAAGTGGCCCACGGGCACTGGCTCATGCCGCTTGGCCTGCCTGCAGAGTAGCTGGTCTCAGGTGAGTGTGCAGCTCTTTGAGAGGGCCTGGGGAGCGGGGAAGAGTGCAGCTGGGAGGACACAGAAGTACCCAGGAGAGACCTAACACTGGTGCTACTGAGTCGGAGTCAATGCCGAGCGATGCCCTGAATGGAAGTGCGCCATCGTGTTTCCAGAGGTCACTGAGTGGGAACCGACCCAACTCCACAGTACCTCACGATTACCAGGTCTTGTCTTTGTGAAGCCCCTGGCTCGAAACCAAACCTGTTGCCTTCTATTCAGTGCCAACTCCTAGTGATCTGTGGGACAGGGTAGAACTCTGCTCTACACTACAGGGTTCCCACAGCCGTAAGTTTCATGGAAACAGCCTCATCTTTCTCCCAAAGAGCAGCTGGTGGATTCAAACTACCAACCTTTCCATTAGCAGCAAATGCTTGACCCTTTGTGCCACCAGGGATCCTCTTAATTCCTGAAACACTGTGGTGGTGGTATGTGTTGTCAAGTTGTTTGCATCTTACAGCCAATCCTATATACAGCAGCCCTGAACCCTGCCCTGTCATGAGCCAACCTCACTAACTCTGACAAAACTACCCCCATTACCCTGCTCACTGAACCAGTTCATCTCATCCCAGGTTGTTTTCTTTCTCTGTCCCTTCACCCTTCGAAGCATGCCCAAAGTATATCAAAAGTATATAAAAGTATATCAAATGGAGCTTCAAAATCCTTGCCTCCGAGGAGCAGCCTGATCTTTTGGTTCTCCTAGCAGTCAATGGTATATTCAGTACTCTTCTCCAATACCACAACTCAAAGGCGTCAATTCTTCTTGTATTATCCTTAGTCATTGTCCAGCTCTTTGATGCATAGCAAGTAATTAAGAAGACCATGGTCTGAATCAGGTGCACCTTAGTCTCTAGACTAGTATCATTGCTCTTCAGTACTCAGGAGACGTCTCTTGACAGCAGATTTTCCCCAATACAGTTCATCTTTTGATGTCCTAGCTGCTGGTAGCAAGGGAGTTGATTATGGAGCCAGGCTAGCTAAAGCTCAAGTAACAGTCTCAATGACTTCACCATCTATCATGCCAGTGGAGTCCAGCAGGAGCCCTGAGACACTGTATTGATGTGTAATACCCATTCCTCAGATCTGTGCTCTTCTCTGCACTGAAGAATCAAGAGACGAGTTGGCCAATGTGTGTGTGGTGGTCTGGGAACATAAACTTCTTGTCATGAGTTAAAGCGGCCTCCCCACCCAGTTTCCCTGAGACAGCCTAATGAAGGACCCCTGCTACGATGGCTGGATGTACATCCCAAATATTCTCCCGTCTTGGTCTTCACCTCCTGCTGTATTTCCGGGTGCTGAGCACTCTTCAAACGAACAATTCTGTGTACCAGTGACAGATGTTGGTGAACCCAGTTACTGCCCAGAACATCTCCAAGGCCACTTTAAAAACTCATGCAATCGCTTGTTTAAAATATTTCTAACACTGTAGTCTCACCTTGATGGCTTAGTGCTAACACAAATGTCAGTGGTTCTAACCCACCAGCGTTCTACACAGTGTGGCCATGGGGCTGCGTCCCAAAAGGGGCCCATGGATGCTGGTGTCCTTTCCTTCATGTACTCTTATCTCCATGCTTGCTGAAGAGACAGCAGAGGACTCGGTCGGCATCCTGTCTCAACAGCACTGAGAAAACCCTACAGCTGGTCACTGGAACTCCTGACAGCACGCAGTCAGTGGACTCCCAGGGACCACATGTAATGAGGAAGGGAGAGAGAACAGGCAAGGTAGCAACGTTAGGACTGGGATAGGAAGAGGAACTGCTCATTTTAATTGAAAATTCAAGGAAGCAACCATGGTGGCAAAGCCAAGTTGACACGAGACAACATCTACACAGTTACCTAACCCATTGAGGGAGAAGCTAGGTCAAGTTCACTCCCTTGGCCTAGGTACTAACCTGAAGCAGCTCGGAGGCAAGGCCTGGTGATCTGTGAAGAGACAGCCATTGTCTCGTGGAGTCCAGATTTTCTGGAGTCAGGGAGTCTGGATCTACCCCTTTGTTTATGCCTTAAACTAAGGGATTGTTTAAACCTTGAACTGAACACTGTCATTGTGTGCTGTCTAACTCATAGCTGACCCAACTCATTTCAGAGACAGTAAATTGCAAGAGAAGAGATTGCCCATCTTCCCACAGAGCAACTGATGGATTTGAACCCAGTGCCTTTGGGATTGCGGTGTAGTTTCTTATCACTGGGCCACAAGAGAAAATCCAACACTAGTTTAGCCTAACTAGT